AGACTAAATTATGGAGCAGTAACAAACAACCCTCCCAAATCTCAGTGGTTTAACAACCAAAATTTGTTTCATATTCTCACTTCACTTCCAAGTAAGGCGAGCAAGGGGGCCTCTGCTCCTTAGGTACCCAGGACCCAGGCTTTTGGAGGCTTCATCTCATCATGTGATCCCCCAGCATCTCTGTGACTGGGAAAGGACCACTGCCAATTGTACACCGATTTTTAAAGCTTCTGCCCAGAAAAGACACATGCCATTTTTGCTCACATTTTATTATCTAAAGCAAGTCAAAGGACTGAACCTAAGGGAACATGGAAAGTCCAGTCCTAAAATTTACCCAGAGAGAAGGAGAAATGGAATACTTGTGGACAGCCATATGACACCACATACATAAACAGATAGTTACAGTGCAGAGAAGGTAATAGATCATTTCAGCATTAGGAGATAGGCTACAACAGCGAGTGTTATAATGACAGTTTGCATGGATAAAGATCAACACTGAGGTAGGTGAGCCTCAAGTTAGGAAAGGGTCTCTTCAGAGCATCAGTTTGACAAATTTTCCCTAAACAAGCTTCCTTGAACCCCTGGACTTGCTCAGTTCTTCTTTGTATCTTCCTTCATTGCATTCTACTCTCCTTCATAGTGGTTTTTCTTTCTTTCTTTCTTTTTTTTTTTCATCTGTCTCTTCTGACAGATTATAATCTCCATGTCAGCAGACTGTGTCTGCCTCTTCATGGCCATGTCTAAAAATGTTTGCCGAATCAGCAGGCTTGGCACATAGAACTCTTTGTTGAATGAAAGCATGAGAGGAGGTGAATTTTGTTAGCAAGTTCAAGTTAGCCATGGAAGAGAATCATGCACCATCACTCACAGAGTTTAGACACATCAGAGGCAAGGCCATTTTGAAAAAGGAAGGCAAAACTTGTGTGTTTGCTTGCTCCCTAGGAGAGGAATTTCTACTCATGCATAGCTTAATTGCCATTTTAAGAGAAAGTGAGCCAGTGTTCCACTTCTAAAGCACTCTGGGCTTCTAACCCCCCCTTTCTCTTGTCTCGCTGCTTTGATGAGCTGAGACCACCAGCTGGGCCAGGCTTCTATGCTGTGGATAAATGTCCACAAGGGCAACAACCAGGCACCAACCTCATTTTCACTTGTGATTCAAGCCCAAACTTTAACCTTTCTCCAGAGGAGTAGATAATGCATTAACACCTCAAACCACTCCACCAGCTCCCAGGGCACTGTGGTATCTGCTGCCTCCTAAGCCTGAGTGTATCTCCCATTTGCTTTTGATAATCACAGCCCAGGAAATTATTTCAAACAGAGGGAGGGGCTGGAGAGAGAGAGAGAGAGAGAGAGAGAGAGAGAGCGAGCGAGCTGAGGAAGTGTCTCTTATAGAAATGTAACTATTTTCTCCAGATTCACCTTGCTTAGGTATGTCTCCCTTTACAATCATAATTAGATTTGGATTCCAGAGGTACTGGGATCTCCCATTACTTCCAACTATGTCCCCAAGAAACCAAATTATTAGGCTATTGCTGATGAATGAATTCCCGGGGAAGCTTTGCTGGGGTTTAGCGGCAGCATTTCTCCGGGGTGGGAGCTGTGGATTCTTGGTTAGATCTCTTAAATGGAGGCTTAGTTTGTGGGAGGAAAGCTGTTTGACTGGGGGATGCTCACTTACATCAGGGATGTAATGATCAATCCAAAGCAGGTGGCAGGCTTTGTCTCGTCTCTGTCCCTCAGCACCTGTCCTGGCTAACTCACAAAGGCTGTCGATGTTTCTAGCTCAAAGGAACAGTCTGGGATGTTACTGAATATTTCATCTGACATGAAGATGATTTTTTTTTACAACTTATGGCGATTAAATTAAATACATTCCTGTGCATATATATGTATTTCACACACACATATATATTTTATTCATTGTGGCACACTTACTTCCTCAAAAGAACAGTAAAAACAACTCTGGACCTTTTCAATGTGCCCCCCTGGATACAAATAGCTTAGTCCTAGTCACATGTGGCTATTTTAAATTTAAATTAATTAAAATAAAATAAGAAGTTCACTAACCTAGTTATACTAATCACATTCAAGTGCTCAATAGCCATGTGTGCCTAGTGACAGCCATTTTGGATAGTTTTATTATTCTAGAATATTCTAGTGGGCAGCATTGGCTTAGACCATTGTTCTTCAAAGTAGGATGAGAGAAACCCAAGGGGTTTTCAAGACAACCCCATGGGGGGCGGGGAAGAAGGAAATATTAATATCAGAACTGCCAATTTTCCATCTCATTCCATGAAGTAGACTTTGAGATACAGCTTAATAAACAGGTAATTTATTAGGGAGCACTTTCAGGGTCAATGCCCATAGTGGAAGGAGGGCTTGGGAGGAGAGGAAGATGTTGGCTGTGGTACATTTAAATAAACACCTCCATTGACCCACAGGGATCTCTGAAGTAGGGAAAGTTTTTCAGAGTTCTCCTGAGTTCCTAAGATGGTGCTGGCTCTTTATACTGCTGTAAGTGACCGGTTGGATGCAGGCTGCCCTGCAGTGGGGTGTGATTGTGGGCTAGGAGGCTCTCTCCAGCAGCTGGGAGGACAAGTCTTTAAGTCCTGAAGGGGGGATCCAATTGTTTGTGCCATTTGGTGTCCTCATATGTGTTTTAGAATGTTCAAAATGCATTAATATAGTGGTACATGAATTTAATTTATAAATGAATATGAGTACATATAATGGAGCTTGTGCTAAATATAATTTACTGATTAAAATGTATAAATCAAACATCTTGGAAATCAACTGATCTGGATGCTGGATTGAAACCTAGATTTTTACCTTAGAATGGCTAAAATACTCTTTGCCAACTGGTGGCCAGCTGGTCTAGTCCACAAACAGATTAGACTGTTCAGAAGCATGCCTTCCTTCCTTCCTCCCTTCCCATTCTTTCCATTCTTTCCAAAAATCATATGTGAATGACTTTAGGCTGTGGCCTGCTCCAGGTGACTACAAGCCTGACCGCTTACTGTTGTCTTCAGCTCAGGGATTTCATATACTTACCTGGCCTATTTAAACTCTGAAGCTGTTTGAGTTTGCAACCCCTGGACTGCACAGCAACAGAGGGGAACAAAGGGTCTGATGCTGAAAGCAGAAGAGAAAAAAGAAAAAGAACCATAATAGGTGAGGGAAAAATCTCAGAGTCAAGAAATGAGAACAAATGGAGATAAAATGTTGTGGAGTGGAATTGACCAATGTTTTTAGAAATTAACTCATATATAATCACTCTCCTTGGTGGGTGAAGAGGCAAAGCTGAAAACAACTCCTAGGGTATTAAAGACCCAGCCCTCTTTCCTAGGAAAAAGAAGGGAACTAATATTTATTCAGCATCTATTTGTATTATATAGTAGGAATTTGAGTGGCTAGTTTAAATACTAATATATAAATGTAATTTAATTTTACTTTGGGAAGTAATTGGATCATGAGGGTGAAGTGCTCATGAATGGGATTAGTGCCCTTTTAAAAGGGATTGTAGAGCGGTCTCTCACTCTTTATCACATGAAGATACGAGAAGTTTTTTGTTTTTTAGATTCTCAATGAAACTGCATAGAATTTACACTCCTAAGAAACTCTTAACACTGCTCTCAGTGGAAACAGAAATGATTCTCTCATATAACAGATAATTAGGTTGAATAAACAATTTAGATGTTCCATGTTTATATAGGATCTTAACTTCCTTTAAAAAGAAACCAGTTTTTTCCAAAAGCTCTGAATCCTGTCTCTGCTTAGAAAGTCTGAAAAATTCTCAGAACTTGAGATGTGATTTTTCTCTTCTCCCACCTCTCATAAGCAGACACCCTTTTCCAGAGCATTTTCCGGTTGCACAGGCAGGACAACGTGAGAAGTACGGCTTCAGAGCCCATTCAGTTAGTCTGAGTCCATATGATTGTAGGAGTTGGGTGTGTCAGAACTGGTGAACCTGACTTTGAGGAAATCTCTTACTTTTTCTTCAATTTCCTTTAAGCCTAGACTGGTGCCAAATGTCTCCTCCTCCAATGAGACAGTCAGGACTAAGGCTATGTCTTTTTTAAAAAAAATCATTTTATTTCAATAGATTTAGGGGGTACAAATGGTTTTTGGCTACATGGATGAATGGTATAATGGTGAAATCTGGGCTCTAAGTGTACCTGTCACTTGAATAATATACATTCTACCCAACAGGTAATTTTTCATTCCTCACCCCCTTCCCATCTCCCTCCCCTCTGAATCTCCGATACCCAACATACCACTCTATATGACTATGCATACCCATAGCTTAGCTCCTACTTATAAGGATTTGGTTTCTGTTCCTGAGATGTTTCACTTAGGATAATGGAAGACTACATCTTTGAAGACTGCATTTTCATGGTCACAGTATTTATAGAGGATCAAAGTAGAGCCTATGGGCAGTGACTTGAAGGGGTGTACCACAGCTGCATTCTGGCCATTTCTGAATCCATTGCTCAGTTCTTGGTCTACCTCTAGTTTGATAGTATCACTGTCTGGGGCAGCTTTGCCTGCCCCATCAATCCAGATGGTATGGACACTATGGAAGGAAGAAGAGGCCTCAGCAATTTATTCACTCAGACACTTAAGTTCTTCAGCAAATTGGGCAGCAGTGAGCAGCAAGATAGCAGGCTGAGGCTGAGGATAGGAGCTATTAAGATGTTTTCCCAGTAATATTAGGCTCCTTTTCTACAGCTTCTCATCTCGACCTTGGTACGGATTCATAAGTTGTTTCATCTGGTTCTGGAACTTGAGAAGAGCAGTGGTTTCTACCTTAGGAGTACAAAAGAACCCAAAACTCCCAAGGCAAGAAAAAGTGGCCACCCATCACTTCATCTTGACAAAAGGCGCATTTTGGGGTTGTCTAGTCACTTGTTGGCTGGAGGTTGATGGACACTGGTTCCCAAACTCTGATTTCTGAATGTTGTCCTTTTGTATCCTAGTCCTTATTTTTGCAGTTTGTTTGATCCATTCCTGAATTTTTTTTTTTTTTTTTTATCTCCTGAGCTCAGCACTAAAGGTTGCTTATCATGAGCTGTGAAGTCTGGACTTGGTGATGACCGTCATCACATTGACCGGGTGATCTGGTCCCCAGACTCAGCAGAATCCCCAGCTCTGAACAAGCAGTGGTGACCTCACCGTCAGAGCTTTCTTGATCGTCCTCTTCAGTTTCTCCTTCTTCAGAGAAATTGACCTTCTGTCTGACAGAAGTGGTTTCGAATTCACCCATGTTAGTAGGTCCATTTGTTTTGTATGCCCAATCGCATCTTGAGCTTCTTAGAGGGGGTCTATATAGGCTGATGATAAGATTTTCTCTCATCACTGGAACCTCTTGTGTTCTCCTGTTTTCTGAAACTGTTTGGCTGAAAACAGTTTGGGAAGATGGCTCATCCTCTTCAGAGGAACGAGGGTCCAGTACCCCTCTCTTGGCGGCCGCGGAGGCTTCTGTGACGCCGCTGTTTTGGGCGGCAGCCCTGCGTGTCATCTCCTCGACTTCCTGGGGTTGCGCGCCGACTTCCGCTTTCTCTCACTTCCTCTTTCACAGCCGAGGGCCGGAACTCTTCTGGCAGGGTGCGTCTTCCCACTGGGGACCTTTTCTTTGTCACCCCGGGCTCCACGTTGCTGTACACTTCCGGTACCTCACTTCTCGCTGGCTTCTGGAAGCTGGGAGAGAGACCTCACCAGAAGGCGAACACGGTGGCACCCTGATCTCAGACTTTGCAGCCTCCAGGACTGTGAGAAACAAATGTTTGTGGTTTAAACTTCCCAGTCTATGGTATTCTGCTACAGCAGCCTGAGCTAGGTGTGAATATTATGGGGTAGGAAAGATGGCTCCACCAATGAAAAGGAAGTGGTAGTGAGACTTGGCAGAGAAGCCCTGCACTTTATATTTTTGACCTGTAGGAACCTATGTTTTGATCTTAGCTCTCAGAGATTTTGGTGCAGAGAAATTCGTTAGCCTGGGGCCCCAAACTCAAGTGCCTGCTGGAGCCTGGCAGGTAAAACAGATGGGTGAAGCTAGTCCAGGGTGAGACAATAAGAAGAGGCAGAGACTGTGGTGATGTGGAGAGTCCATATTCAGGCTGTGCGAGGGGGCTGCTGTGACCAGGGAAGACTATAGGGCTCGTGTTAACAAATCTCTGTTTTCAAAAGATGTTGGGTATGTAGTATTTACACAATGACACTTGATTCAAAAACATTATGGGTCAGAAGAAACACTTGTGGTGCTACAAGTCAACTTCTGAGACAGAAAGGCCCTGATTTGAGAAGATTCAAGGCATTGATACAGAGCGCGCCCCCTGCTGACTGGAACTACTGCCCTACTTCAGGAAGGCAGAGGCTCCAGTTTGAGAAGTGCTGGAGGCATTCATATCCTCCTGCCTCTCAGAGGATGCTTACCCCGAGGACATCCATTCAGAGACTGGTCTGGATATGTTAAATCCTGGAGAGCTGGTCAGCAGGGCAACTCTGAGTAGGAGAGGCCTGCATCCCTCACTTTCAAAGTCAATAAGAAGGTTGTGCAACTTGGAGCCCCTATTACCACAGATATTTCCTGGTTGCTGCTTCAGCCAATTTTAGAAAACTCGACTGACTTCAGCCTTCAAATACAGTCCTTGATGTACTTCTGTAGACTCCATGGATATTGCTGAATATCACTTCAGACTCGCAAACTAATTATAGAAAGGTCGTACTTGTTACCACCTGTTAGCGTGATACTTTTAGTCATTAGCAATTAATAAGTTGTTTGACCTTTGGCTTAGAAGCGGAAGGAAGCAGGAAGAAGGAAATAACAAGGTGAGTATAACCACTTCTGGGTCCTAGTTTTTGATGGTAGCTTTGTACCATCACCACCCTGGCCAGAAAGTTTCTGTTTAACCTGCGTTCTTCCCACAGAAGAGGACACGAAAGACTTGAACAGTTACAGCCCCACAGTCCTAGGGATGTGCCATAGAACAACACAGGGTACAACTATTGGGTGCTAATCATTTGCTTGTTTGTCTTTTGAGCAAAGGAGGTGGAGGTGCAGGGAAGATTCTGTAGTGACAGTCTGAAATTTGTTCTCTTAGAACCTTGAGAGTCTGGGAGAATTCCAGAATCCTTTTCATTACGGTAGCAAACTGCAGAAAAGAGGGGTTTTGTGGCAACTGTTGTGTTGAGGATTTGCCATTTAACAAATGATCTTCATTGTAGTTTTCTTTGTATAGGTCGGAACTCGTCTCATAGTTTAACAGTTTGACAAACCCTTTAGAGTTCTTTCTTTAGTTTTAGTTTAATTTTTTGTAACAAATTTTTCATCTGTCTTTAGGAAGCTCAAATTAAAAGAATCCCATTGGTGTAGTTAAAGATAGTTATCTGGTCAGGATGGGCCTGGATGAAAAGTGGAGTTGCCTTGCAGCTGAATGAGCAAAACCCTTCCACAGAATGCTGCCTGGACTGGGCTCCTTCTTGTTTGCTTGTGTCCTCTGTTACAAGCACAGTGGCCACTGGACTTAGTAAAATAAGCAGTTGTGGCCACTGCCCTGTTATACCTGACAAGTAGGGAGAGACCCTATACATCTTTTTAATTAAGTCAGTATATACGGCCCTTTCACTTTGTGTGGGATGAAAAGGAGGGAACCTGTGGTTCACATGTTTAGGGTTTGGCAAGAAATACTTTTCTCAATAGGTTTTAAGAAATTTGGTTTCTTGATGGTGAGGAGATAAATTCAGAAGTGCTTTAATAAAAGTGAGAAATGGAAATGGAAGGGTATTCCCCCCTATTTTGTGAAATTTATCAATTCATCCAACCAACCAATATTTACTAAGTTCCTACTATTAGATAAAATCACAAATTTGGCAAGATGATGCTATCATAGTGCTGAATAGCAGCCCATTCACAGCCTGACTAATCATTTCTACATCCCACTTTCAGGGCCGTCACTCTTCTTTTTGACACTCTTACCTGTCTCAACCTGTCTCTTTTCTGTGTCTAGACTAGTCTGTGTATCCACTGCTTTCCTCATTCTGTGAGTGCCCCTCCAGTGTCACGTGGGTTGCCTAAAGAGGGCTCTGATATTAGCTTGCTGTGCCTTGTCAGTTCAAATCAAGTCACGGCAGCTCAAGCCCACCCCGTGGGCAAGTTCTTGACAGCTCTCCTTGTCAGCTGACCGCTGAAAGGCAGCAGCAGTGAGTGGGAACCAGTTAATTAGCAGTGACGACTTCCAGGTTGGGATTTTTTGTTTAATGCTTAGTTAATTTCACAGTAATTGAATTTACAGTTGGCTTACAGAGTCAGGGGTGAAAGGTTCTGGGTGGAGCCCCAGCATTCTCCAGCAGGGGAATGAAAAGGCGATTGTTCTGAGGCCTGCCTGGCCTCCTCTCATGAACCCTATGAATGTTTGGAGGCATGAAATTACCCACAGGGGTATTTTGAGGTGCAAGCAAGGCAAATAGAACTGCTGCAGCTCCTGTCCAGCCATGAGGGATGGGCATGAGATTTGGTGGAATCTGTGTGTCTGCACAAGGAGGAACCAGCCTGTCTTGAGTGATTCCTATGTGCTGGCCACAAGGGTGGGCTCTTTACATACATTCTCTCATTTCTTCTTACACTATACTGGTGAGGCAGGTGCTATTATTTGCACTGTTCAAGTGAGGAGGGTGAGGTTCAGAGATGTTGAGTAACCTACCAGTATCACACTGCAAGAAGTAGTTCCAGGATTTGAACTTGGATGTTTCTGACTCCTAAACCCAAACTTCTTCAGCTGTTGCTTTGGAAGAAGAAGAAGAAGAAGCTAGAGAAGTTCAGTTTTTCCATCTCTTATAGGGATAGTGGTGCTAAGAGTTTTAACCTCAATAGGGACTGCTACCAAGTATGAGGATGGGTCTTGGGTAATGGTTTTCCTGGCCAGGCACACTCTCTGGTGCAAGTTCACGTTCATTTAATGAGCCAGCATGCTCATATTCCTTATTTGGAAGTTCTATTTTGATTGTCAGTATATCTAATATTATATCTATTAATCAGGAATTTTTAAGTTGCCACCAACTGAAACCCAACCAAAAGTAGCTTGGGTGTGAAATGAATGGTTCTGCTCATATGGCTGGGAAAAACACCAGGGTAACGCACAGACATAAAAGATTAGCTGGGAGAAATTTGGCCACGGGCCCTGGAACCATGGACATGAAGCCTAGCTGTCTAACTGTCTCTCATCTCTACTAGGATCTGATTTTATGTGTTATAGACTGAATGCTTGTGTTCCCCAACCCTCCAGATTCATATGTTGAAGCCCTAACCCCCAGTGTGGTTATGTTTAGAGATAAGGCCTCTAAGGAAGTAATTAAGATTAAATGAATCATAAGGATAGGGCCTTGATCCAGTCGGATTAGTGTCCTTATAAGAAGAGATTCCAGAGAGCTTATATTCTCACAAAGAGATCACATGAGCACACAGAGAGAAAGCAGATGCCTACAAGCTAAGAGATAAGGCCTCAGAATGAAACCTAACTTGCTGGTACCTTGATCTTGGACTTACCAGTCTCCAGAATATGGGAAATAAGTTATTTCAGCCACTTAGTCTGTGGTATTTTTCTTATAGCAGCCTAAGCAGACTGATACATGTATGTTGGCTCATTTTCCCCTTCTGAAGACAACCTTCCCTTGCATGGCCAAGAGAGATGGCCACTAGAGCTCCAGGCTGCAGTGGTCCCATTTAACAATTTAAATGGAAAGAGTCCATCATCTTGAGATTATCTATATAGTCAGGATCATGCTGATGTCACATGGCCATATCTTGGAGCAGTCGCTGATGGTGGAGGGGAAAGGAATGGATTATGACTGGTCAGGCCTGTTACCAGAAAAAGGGGAATAAGAAAAGTTTCAGAGTTAGCCAAGAGGTAAAAACAGTAATGACAGTTCACCATGCCTAGGGAGAAACACCATTTTGTGCCATTACAGAAGACTTTAAGTGTTGACTCTGGAAATTGCTCAGAATGATCCTAATACCCACGGTAGTGACTGATAATTATAATGACTGCCTTTCAAGTTGACTGACTGAAGGAGGTCACAGGATGAACTCTTTTCATGTGTGTTCCACTGCATAGCCTCTTCAAAGGATAACAGCTAATACTTTTCTATTGTTTGAATGGGCTTTGGTGGAGTTTGTGACTTTCTAATAGATGTTGAACCAGAAAGAATTATGTAAGCAGCTCAGCATGGACACAGTGAGGAGCAAATTTGTTGAGCTTGCCCCCCCAAATCTCCTCTTCTTCCCCAAGGTGCAATGCACATCTTAGGATATTAGTTATGCTAAGAATCTCCTTTCAAAATGGTTTCTCCCCACCCCCAAGGAAGGGTGAGCAGGCCCTCCATGATAGGTGGGTGAAAAGAGAAAAATCTAAAAGCCTTTTATATCCAAGCAGAGCAAACAAATTCTAAAATTGTCTCTGCTACACTAAAATAGGATTATAAACATCTAATTAAAGAATTTAATTGACAAATACTACACAATATATCCTCTTTTTG